AGAATCTGCTAAATGTTGCTGTGAGGTCTCGGCCTTTTCGTTTTCTTGCTTTAGCTAGTTTTGATCTGCGGTCTTTTATTTTTTTTCCATCTCACTGGTGGTTGCTGTTGCAATATGCTAAAGTTTGCCGTGGGTTTTCGTTCTTTTTCGTGTCTTGTTCATTGTGTTGCTAGTTTGTGGTTTATAATTGCATCCTAACACGAAAACCTATATTACGAAAAGTTTTGAATGTTTGAGATTACGCAATGGTTTCAATATCCTAACCTTATGGGGGTGACAAGATAGACACCTGAGTAAAACTACGGCAAGGGGTACTTGCATGCATATAGCACCAACATTGAGATGATGAGTTCTTGACAGTAAATTTAATGTAAAATCAAGGAAAGAGACCTTTGATGTCTGAGTGGTACATCCTTATAAAATGCAAGCAAATAAATATTAGAAGGATATACATACCTTTTGACCGAAATATTGGGCTATCTTTGGCAAGCTATATTCATTGTGACTGTTCTGTTTACAACTGTTTGAAACAGCCTTTTTTTTAACTTATTTATATTTGCTCTTTTGAAGTATTTACAAAAATCTAGAATTTCACTGGTAAAATAACTTTTCTACCTCTGAAATTTTGATGAACAGGTTGTATTCTATGCCATCCAGTATTCTTAATGAACGTAAAACATGATTTTAAGAGAAACTATGGCCAAATGGAGAGATTGCAACCCCACCATCAGAAAGTAACTATTATGTGATGGTTACCGTTTGAACATTTTTAATGTGCACATGGAAAAAGGGATAAATATTTTGTGTACAAAAAGCATAAACAATGCCACCCTAATCTAATGATTTTTAGTTATTTCTTTTTAGTTGTTCCCATAGTTATTAGCTTTTATTGATACTCGTATGAAGGACTTTACATAATAGCATTTTGAGTGACTTCTTTGGAAGTAAGTGTTTTTGTAATGTGTAAGACTAGGAAAATCTTGATAGCCCACCTTATTTTTTGTTATAATAACTATCTAGTCAAACATATTTGGAAATCCCTTTTTTTTCCTCAAAATAACTTGTGCTTTCAACCCCCTTCTAGTGCGTTTCTTTTTGTTCACTATTTCATTTTCTCATGAGATGAAGCTTTTTAGTAGTTAATTATTTTGAGGGTTACCTCAGTCACAACTATTTCTTCATTTTATTTTGACTCTGCATACAAGAATCATGCGCTGCCTTCATCTCCATCCATGCATAACATGTATTTTACCTGTGCATGGCAATTATCTTGAGCAAATTATATGAAAATATGACTAAATATCATGTTCTTTTATGAAAATGACGAAATATCTTGTTCTTTTATCTTGAGCAAATTGAGATTAGCAAACGGTGGCCGCTTCAGAGTCTCATAGATTTGACATCCCTCAACATAGTTATCAAATCTGGGCCGAACATTGACCCAAACAAGCCTTGGATCACAAATTCACTGGTTGAACCAGTGGCTCAAGCAGTTGGAACCATAGATTCTATATAAAAAAATTAAAAAATAAATTATACTTATAATTTGTATATAAAAAATTTTAGATTTATTTTTTTAATAAAATATATTAAAAGTATAACATAATCATTGTTGGTTTAATTCAACAAATATGATTACGAAAAAATAAAAATCCAAACTCAAATAAGTTGTATGACAAAAATTGATAGTTAGCTTATAGCTTACTACATGAGATGATAAGAGAGAGAAACATGAACAAAAGAGAAAGGTAGAGTGGTGATAAGAGAGGCAAATAAAAGACTGAAAAAGGACAACAAGGATGATTATATGAAAGGACGGAGAGAGAGTTTGATAGAAGGGGCAGTTACAGAAAGGTCAGGTAATGCACATTTAGAGAAGGCATCCAATTTTTTTCTTTCTAGAAAGACTAAACTACCCTCAAAGGTAAATAGAAGAATATATTTAAGAGGATTATATTTTTTTTGGTAAGTAAAAATAAATTGATTATGTGTAAAGTTTCTACAAATAGCTTTGTCTATACAAGTCATAGACAAAGTCAGGTAACTCGTTGAGTACACATGTGGTAGTTATGACTACACATGCTGTAGACTTTAACTCCTAACTGTAGCGAACATGTTAAGATGTGCCAAGACTACCAGTGGTTACAGCATTTAACATCATTGCCAAGATCTTTAGCTAATAGTAAAATTGAATTTAACAAAAATATCTCTTTCTCTTCGTGTAAAGTGCTCCATTTTGAGATTGTGCTCCAATCTTAAGTCTCTAATAATCTCTGTCAAGAGCTGAGCATTGTTTGTGTGTTGACACTCAAAGATTTTGCTACATCTCTCCTTCCATATCCACCAAATAGTACATCTGAAAGTAACCTTTGCCAATTGTGTAAGAGGTCCTTTTTTTTAGAAACTTTGTATGAGGTCGCCTAATTCTTGATGCAAGTTTGGTTGCGGCAGCCTATTGAGTTCAAATCGCTAGAGAATCTCCTTCCATATCTATTTAGTATATTCACAAGCAAAATAGAGGTGGTCAATAGTTTCTTCTTATTGCAAACAAAGGGAGCATCGGTTAACATGACAGATACCTCTTCTCTTAATATTATCTATTGTAGGTAGTTTATTAAGAAGGGCCTGCCATGTACATAGGGAATGTCTCTGTGATCCCGGTTTATCCCATGTCTAGCTACTTAGGATCCACTTGTTATTTTTTTGCCTGATTTGATTCCAAACGGATGTGGCACTAAATTTACCATTGTCATGAGGTCAAATAAGTGTATCTGAAGAGTTGTTCCTGATTGGAATAGTTTTGATAGTCGGCCAAAGTGATATCATTTCAGGAGAAATAGGATTAGGAAGACACCAGGTACCTTTAGCAATAAACTCGGAAACCTTCCAATCTTTGGGAGCCCCAAGGTCTTTTCGTATTCTGTCACCATATAATTGAAATATACTCTTCCCATTTATCCAAGGATCGTACCATATATTAGTACTAGTACCATATATTTAAGGGGATTATAAAAATGATGCAACTAACAATCTGGACAAGCCAAGGGTTTGGTTTCTGGTTATTCAGTCTGATCGGCCGATCTGGTCCTAGTTGAATTACTATGTCCTTTAGTGTTTATTTTACTGTGCACAAAATTAACTAGATCAGAATAACTAGTTTACTGGAGTCTCGATGGTTAGTCTGTCACAATCTAGCAATAAGCCCTTGCTGGAATCTCTGAATCAGTTTTTTTTTTTGTCTCATTGAATCTCATCTAGTAAAGTTTCATTCGAGAAAAATGAGGAACCTTGTTTTCGGGGAGGTATAAGTCAGGCACCGGCTTCCTCTGCTGCCTCTGCGAGAAGTTAGTCGAGCTATGCACATCTAAGTCATCCCATTTTTCGTAAATATCAAAATTTCCCTTATAATTATTTGAATTGGTTCAGGTCAATCAACTGATTCTATGTCAAACTTGTGTTCATATTACAGTTTTACGCGTGGGATGTTGAATGTGTTAACTTGTAATAAATTACAGTGGTGAAAGTTTTTTGTTTTGTCTTTGGTGTCTCTTTGCTTACTGTGATGTGTATAAATGTTACATCGTTGTTGTGAAAATTGTTTGATATATTTATGGTGCATCGATACTATTTTCTACTTTTGACAATTATGTAGATGTGAAAGTGATATGTATGCATGTTTGTATCATATATATATATATATATATATATATATATATATATATATATACTATATCATTGTTGTGAATATTGCTTGATATGTTTATGGTGTATAAATATTATTTTCGGCTCCACAATTATGTAGATGTGAAAGTAATGTGTATTCATGTTTGTATTGTATCTACATAATATGTCGTTGTGAAAGTTGTTTGATGTCTTTAGTGTCTACTCTATTTCTAAATCTTAAAAGTTATGTATATGTTAAAATGATGTTTGACATATCATAAAGAAATGTTATATCATTGTTATAAAAGTTGTTAGATATGTCTTTGTTGTGAAAGTAATGTTTGATACATGTTTGTATCATATATAAATGTTATGTCATGTGTCTCTTTTGGTATCATTTCTTTTTTTTTTTGGTAGTTTTAGGATATCTAATTGTCAGATTTACCAAATTTTTTGATATGTTTTATAAATAAGGATATTTTAATTTATTCAGTATAGCTAGATCAACTTTCACGAAACCAATACATGCTTCTTCAAATCCACTATGACATATTTCTAGCATCATTAGTACTATTTTTTTTTAATTTTTAGATGATTTTAGAATAACTAATTATAAAATTTTAAAAATTTTATGATAAATTCTATAGTTTATTTTAATTTGTTTTTGAGTATAAATAAACTTCACTAAACCAACTCAAACTTATTCAACCTCTTTCTTTTCTACTTTTTTTAAAATTTTGATAATAATTAACAGGAAAGGAAAAGGTGGCAAAACCAAGTTAAAATAAATTTATGAGGGAGGAGGAAAGCTAGGTTAGAAATTTAGAAATTTCTATGGAAACCAAATCAATTATGAGGATATTTTAAGATAAAAACGGAACAGTTTCATCCAATTGGAAAAACAAAAATATCCCCAAGTATAAAATGATTGAGGGATGTTATATAGTAAAAAACTAATAGAAATTTTTTTTAGATAAGTTATCTTTTTTAATTTCCTCACACTGCTCATTCTCTCGCACCCACGTTGCCTTTATCCAAAATTTGTCACCATTGTTCCTCCCTCACAGGGGTCATCCTCCACCTCCGGTGCCCCTCCTCCCTTTCTCCCCTTCTCTTCTCCTTTTCCTCCATCTCTTCCTCATCTACTCATCTGCCTGCTCTACCACTTATCTACCCTTTTTCGACTAGGGAAACCCAACTTGTATAACTACAACTGACATCTCCCAGCTGGATAGTAGATCTACTGCTAGAGTTAGTTTGAAATTGTCATTTGTCTCTCCCGGCATTGGCATGGGACAACCTAATCCCATCTGGTAGAGATGAAGATCAGGCAAATCTGATTAAAAGATCAGACTAAGCAAAAATTGAACAGAAACTTACAAAATCCTCCAGTTCTCCGCATCTGATGTTAAAATTTCAAGGATCAGTCAACAGCAAACAATTGGGACGACAAATTAATGACAATCTAGTAAACAATTTCCTATCCATGTTGACTCAATCGATGTCGGAAGTCTCATCCTCATCTTCATCAAGAATATACACCATGGCATGCCTTCTTGATGTAAAAACACACGCAAGTCCCCTGGAAGCTGCAGAAAGTTGAACCAGAAAATGAATTAACTATGGAACTAACTACAATAAACTCACTAACAAAGGAGCTGAATAAACTCGAAAATAAATTTCAGCCTACATTTCCAAGGTAATTATGGAAGTTGTCAAGCATCTCAAATAACAAATATAAAGATAATCTTACCACTGACAGCCAGCGGGCTAGTTACAGGTTCTGAAATATAACGAACTTTTCCAATTTCCAGGTGCATGTCAACAGCAGAAGCCTGGTGTGAATGGCAACAAGAAAATTGGTTATTAGAAATTTTAAATTTTTTTAAAATTGCCAAATGAAAGCCTGACAATCTTAAAAAATAAAAGGATGTTTGCAGACATTATAATACATCCATGCAAATCATATGAATCTGCATTTTAGTATTTGACATTCCAAATCTGTGTTAATTTCTACTGTTACATTTAGTGAAACATGCTCTTTCGCCAACACATACATGCAGGCAATCATGCAATACTAAGAAAAAAAAAAAGATCATGAGGTAAAATAGCCTTAGGAGCATATGATGCGATTTTATGGTTACACAAGGAAGATATTCTTACTTCGTAACACATACCTTCAAGATTTGCAATGTCCAGAGGTTGGCTGGTGTTCGTCTTGAAAGAGGCAAAAAGCAAAAGTCACTAATTTGTACCATCATTACCAAAGATCTCATTGTACTTTCAGATGTGGAGGTTGCTTCATTAAGTAAAAGAACAATTTGGTTTTCCTGTTTCATTCAAAGGGAAAAAAACACAAAACGTCAAGCAAACAAGATAACTGAAGATGAATAAAAGAATGTTGCATTAAGAAAGCTTTATAACCTTATACAAAGATAGATCAATGCACTGAAATGCATCTGGTATACATAATAAAATAGCTTCAGGAGAAGTTACTCTCTTCTGAACAGGATCCAGTCCATTTGCAAAACCCCTTATGATGCCAATACAGTTTGTCAACTCAAGTGATTCATCAGGTACTTTAAAGCATATATAGTCTACACGGCTATCACCATCTGTACACACTTCTGAAGTAGCACCATGGTCACCCTAAAGTTCAAATATAAAAATAAAAAACTACATTAGATTCACTACAGAAGCATGTTATTGTTGCAAAGATCAACAATCATAAACGTTAACAATATTATACTATTCAGCACTAAAGAACTAATGCACCTCAGCAGCACCAGAATTATAAAAACGAACCACCAGATATAGGATTATGGCTCTGAATGAACATGTCAGATGGCTTGAATGTTGTTCAAGCAAACAGCCAAATAATTTTTTAACATTTAGAACTTTTAAATATCAATCAACTGATATTGTCTGAACTGGACCTTTGTGATTATACAATAAATTAGCTCAAATATCAACTTGATTAGTTGGTTCTCACCACTGCACGAATCTCTAGCCACTGTCAAGTGTCATTTTTATGCTTTTAGGCGAGTCCTGCTCTTGCCTAACCTTGTCAAGGAAGGAAATAGGAACCACCACTAAGGTGTTAACAATGAATGAACAATAGATCATTCATTTTGTCTGATCTTCCAAGATGCCCACCAGTCTCAATGGAAAATTGCTTTAATCTTATCTAAAATTTTACAGAAACGAAAAGTTTTCATGTTTGGTATGCAGCTAAAAGTTGTCCCACGATCATACACGTTCAGTTTCTTTGAAGAAAACCACACATTGCAAACCCCTAATGGAATTTCTATTTTGCATATCCATGCAGAGTGTGAAACAGTAAAAATGTACAAGTGTGTTTAAGGTTTTAGCCTAGTAACATGGTCATATTCCTCTGTTGTTAGGGCTCTTGACGAATATCCATGACAAATGATGTTAGACCCCAATTACCAGAAACAGCAGCATGGCTAGCAGAAGCAATTGCTATTACACAAAGAAGCCTAACAATTTTTGGATATCAGATGTCAAAGTTACTTCACTTAATCTTCCTACTCCAGCTGCTTCAGTGGCAACAGAGTGGTGTCTATGGATAGATGTATACACATATTTCAATGAGAGAAACAGAATTGATGGGGAAGTACCCATCAGTAAAGCCTAGATTTATTTTGTTTCACCTTTTTTATATGTATCTACAGATATGACTAGTCCATTGGGTTCTGTGGTGTAAGGTACTCTAATTCTTGAATGCAATTCTTAATATTGCATAGATTTTGACTTTGGGACCTCACATTATCATGACAATAAAAAGGCATCAAGCGTTGATTGATTTTCTACTAGAATGGAGCTTACAAATTGTATTCCACCACTGCTTTACAACAGCTCCGTTCCCTCCCATATCTTCCACCTCAATGAATGACTTCCAATTACCAAAATTACTAGATATAGAAGGAACTAGAAAAAGGTTATGTTTTGCTAGTTATATAATGTTGTCACAGTGGCAAGTTAGATGTCTGTAATTTAAGATCTTTGGGAAAGAATGACTATTGAACAATGGATGTAATCAAATTAAATAGTTAAGTTAGAAATCAATTTTTATTTCCTTACTTGCCAATGTAATTTAGGAAATATTAATCATATTTCCTTATTTACTACTACGAATTAGGAAATGACTATTAAAGATTCCAAATACGGTGATATCATATTTGTTAGTATATTAAATAAAAATAATTCATATCAAATAAATACGAAAATTAAAATAATTTTTCTTTAATGGAGGCTCACCTTCTCCTATTTAAGGGGAGAGATTTCTCTCATTCTTCATCACCTAGCCGAGCCTAGCAGCAGGAGGAATGAAAAGTTACATCCTGCTAACAAGAAGCAGGTTTCCCTACATTTCTTGAAATTAAAATTTTTTATTTTGATTACTTAAATGTTAAAATTTTTATAGTTTGAAAATATCTATCAGTCCTTTTAATGTCAAAGTATTTATTGTTGGATTAAGATATGTTATGTGAAGTTTTTAAAGGATTCTTTAAATACACTGAAATTATACATGTTTTATGTATTGAATACATGATATTTGATTCTTCATATTTGGATTAGGAATGTTATTTCCTCGTATTGCAGTTTAACTTTTTATCTTATCTGGATTAAAATATACAATGAGTAGCGAAAAAAAAAATTTTCTTAATCCTTTAATTGTTAAAATTTTTATTGTTATATTATAATATATTATCTGAAAATTTTTATCCCTGTTACAATTTAGAATTTTATTGTTTAATTAAATCATGTTGAAATTATTAATGTCATATGTATTAAAAATATAATTTTTAATTCTTATTAAATTTAAAATATCATTTCCTTGTATTGAAGTTTATATTTCAATATTATTCTTTAATCTGTTGTTATGTTTTAATATATTATTATTGTCATAATTTAATATTGATGAAATTGGATTGGCATAAGGTTAGAACAGCCCGCAAAATAGGCCCAACCCATAGGTCAAGCCACAGCTCATTGGCTAGGCTTAGTCTACTGACTAGGCCCAACCCATAGGCCGAGCCTATCCTGCGGGTTAGGCCCTAGCCCGCAGGCTAACCCAGCCTAGCCCAATAGGGCAGTCATGTGCTTCGCATATGACTAGTCCATGGGCCAAGGTTGGCCCAACCTACAGTAGTGCATGCACAGTTACATGCAGTGCACATGACCAGTATATGAGTCGACCTAGCCTAGTCCAATGTTATGTAATTGTTGGAATTGAGCTCAAACGTTGATTGAACTAAACCAAACTTGATTAGTCTAGATCAATTTAGGGTGATTCCGAATTGGTTTGACTTATTCAAGTCAGTTTAACCTAAATTGAACATAATCTATTCCAAATTATACTAGTCTAGGGTGGTTCCAGACCAGTTAAATTAGGATTAAAGATCAGTTCAGTTAGGTTCTAGTAAATCGAGTTCAATTAGATCGATTGAAATAAGGTTCAAGTCAATTGAGGACTAATTTATACTATTTGACATTGATGATATTTAAAAAAAATATTTTAAATATGTTATTTCATCCCGATATAGACATGACTAGTGTGAGATTATATTATTTCCTGCCAAGGGCAGGTAAGGTGATTCCCTTCGGGGATTAGTGGGTCGTCAAACGTAACGGCTGGACGGTTCCTTCATTTGCTGTCGGGATGAACGTGTCCCCACTTTGGTGGATAAAGGACACCACTTCATCCATTGTTGGGAGTACGATATGAGTTTGCCTTCATCCGTTGTTGGGAGAACATAAACTCATCCCGTAGGATAAAGCCTCTTCATCCGCTGTTGAGGGAGTGCTCCTTCGGGTACTTGATATACGCCAATGAGATGATTGATTTTTTATCATGTATTCATTTTGAGTTGACATTTTGGGTTCCTACTCAATGTTGCTGAATTTTCTTTATTTTTTATTTTCAGAGTAGCCTCTCTCTAGTACTAAATCGGATTCCAATAGAGAGCGAACCTTCTTCTACCGCTAGGTAGAGCCACTTAGATAATTCTTAAGTTAACATCACTATGTTTACTTTTCTACTTATGCTACTTGTGATTTAACGAATCAATGAATTGTAATAAATATTTATAAATGATGAATAAAGTGATGTTTATCAATCTGGCTAGCTCTGATACCATAAAAAGATGTCAAATTCTATATTTTTTCAGGAAATATTAATCTTATTTCCTTATTTGCTATTACGAATTAGAAAATAACTATTAAGCATTCCGAATAAGATGATATCATATTTGTTAGTATATTAAATATAAATAATTCACATTAAATAAATACGAAAATTAAAATAAATTTCCTTTAATGGTGGCTCACCTCCTCCTATTTAAGGGGAGGGATTTCTTTCATTCGTTCCTTACCTAGCCGAGCCCAACAGTGAGAGGAACGAGGAGTTAAACCTTACTGACGAAAAGTAGGTTTCCCTACCTTTCTTGAAATTAACAGTTTTTATTTTGATTACTTAAATGTTGAAATTTTTGTAGTTTGAAAATATTTATCAATCTTTTTAATGTCAAAATATTTATTGTTAGATTAAGATATGTTATGTTAAGTTTTTAAGAGATTCTTTAATCCTTTTAAAGGTTTCTTTGGATTTAAATACACTGAAATTATAAATGTTTTATGTATTGAATACATGATATTTGATTCTTCATAGTATATTTTAATATACTATGAGCAGTTCAAAAAAATATTTATTTTCTCATCCTTTAATTGTTAAAATTTTTATTGTTAGATTATAATATATTATCTAAAAATTTTTATCCCTGTTAAGATTTAGAATTTTATTGTTTGATTAGATCATGTTAAAATTATTCATGTCATATGCATTGAAAATATGAATTATAATTCTTATTAAATTTAGAATATCATTTCCTTGTATTGATGTTTATCTTTCAATATTATTCTTTAATATGCTGTTATGTTTTAATATATTATTGTTGTCATAATTCAATATTGATGAAATTAGATAAGCATAGGGTTATAACTGCCCGCAAACTAGGCCCTACCCATAGTTCGAGCCATAGCCCATTAGTTAGGCCTAGTCTGCTGATTAGGCCCAACCTATAGGCTAAGCCTATACTGCGGGTCAGGCCCTAGCCAGTAGGCTAACCTAGCCCAACCTAACATGGGCAGTAATGTGCGACACAAATGACTAGTCCACGGGCCAAGGTTGGCCCAACCTACAGTGGTGCATGCACAGTTATATGCAGTGCACATGACCAGTATATGAGTCGACCTAGCCTAGTCCAATATTATGTAATTGTTGGAATTAAGCCCAAACGATGATTGAACTAAACCAGACTTGATTAGTCTAGATCAATTCAAGGTGATTCTGAATTGGTTTGACTTATTCAAGTCAGTTTAACCTAATTTGAACCTAATCTAGTCCAAATTATACTAGTCTAGAGTGGTTTCAGACCAGTTAAATGAGGATTAGAGATCGGTTCAGTTAGGTTCTAGTAAATGGAGTTCAATTGGATCGATTGAACTAGGGTTCAAGTCAATTGTGGGCTAATTTGTATAATTTGATATTGATGATATTTGAAAGAGATGTTTTAAATGCGTTATTTCATCCCGATATAAACATAACTAGTGTAAGATTATGTTAT